TCAAACAATACAAAACTGTAGATATGATTGGTGTTAAAAAAAATAGGGTCCAAAAACACAACTTATCCCAAACCGTAGGACCATTCATATAGTTTACTCTAAAATACATAAAGTAAACTTAACCATCGTTAGTCTATCTCTATCATAGACAAGTTTCACAATTATTTAATCATTATTCGTGTGGACAGAATGAGAGTAGTCATAGGAATTGCCACGACATGTATACTTGTTAAGCAACGTGATATAGATGAACGATACGTCCTTGACCAACACCCAAATTGCACTGCCGTAAACGGTAGACCATTGACTGGTGAAACAAGATCACTTTGTTCCGGACGGCGAAGAGATCCCTTTCACCAAGCCATCTGCTAATTCACATCATAAGGATTAAATAACTAATAATCTCAACTTTTCCAACTATCAGAACCGACTTCCATACTTCATCTATGATCTTGATCCAACCACCCCTTCTTCTTCTATTGCTGCTTCTGCTCGCTGGAGCCGAAGCAGCATCCACAGTTTCCACAGACAACAATGGTTTCTCCTTCCTTTTCAAAGATTCGCAGCTCGATGGTGTACGAGAGATCCAGCCAGATGGTCGAGTGGTTCACAGCAACGACACCGAGATGTTCGGCGTCGGTCACACCTTCTACTCTCGCCCTTTCCGGTTCAAAAACTCCCACACCAGCAACGCTTTGTCGTTCTCCACTTCTTTCGTCTTTGGAATCATACCAGAAAACCCTCTGTTCACGTTCCACGGAATGACCTTTGCGATTGCTCCATCAAAAGCAGTGACGGATGCATCCTCTTCACAGCATCTCGGACTCTTTAACCGTACCAATGACGGAAACGCCTCAAATCACATCGTCGCCGTCGAATTCGACACGTTTAGAAACCTCGAACTTGACGACATGGATGGCAACCATGTGGGTCTTGATATAAACAGTATAGAGTCTGTCTTCGCTGCAACAGCAGGCTATTACAAGAATGGAGGCTTTCAAACCCTAACTCTTGCGAGCTCCAGAGAAATCCAAGCGTGGGTCGATTACGATGGTGTTGAAAAGACCTTGAATGTCACATTAGCTCCTCTTCCCTTAAAAAAACCACAAAAACCTCTTGTAACCTGGAAGAAAGATCTGTCACCTTTTTTACTCGAAGAAATGTACGTTGGGTTTACTTCAGCCACTGGGGTTCTTCTTCAGACGTTTTACATTGTTGGTTGGAGTTTTCAAATGAATGGAAAAGCTCAAGAAATCGATAGATCAAAAATCCCACCTTTACCTGTCAATAAAAAATCAAACAAAAAGAAAAAAATGGGTTTAGAAATTGGGTTATCTTTAGGTGGATTACTGGTTCTTTCATCGATTTCAATTTTGGCGTTTGTTTTGTTCCAAAGAAGAAAACGTAAATTCGAATTCGAAGAAGCTCTTGAAAGTTGGGAGGTTCAATACGGACCTTGCAGGTTTTCCTACAAAGATCTTTTCACAGCCACAAAAGGGTTTAAAGAAAGTGAGCTGCTTGGAAAAGGTGGTTTTGGTCAGGTTTATAAAGGGACCTTGCTGGACTTAGGAGCTCAGGTCGCAGTGAAGAAGATATGGCATACATCAAGTCAAGGAATGAAGGAATTCGTGGCGGAGATCGCCACGATAGGTCGGTTACGACACCCAAATTTGGTCAGACTTCTTGGGTATTGTCGAAGAAAAGGCGAATTGTTTCTTGTATATGATTATATGCCGAATACTAGTTTGGATAAGTTTATATTCAATTCAAATCCCAAATCCACTTTAACATGGAAACAAAGGGTCAAAATCATTATCGATGTAGCCAAAGCGTTAGCATATCTGCATGAATGGTGTGAAGTTATAATCCATCGGGACATAAAAGCAAGCAACGTGTTACTTGACGCCGAATTGAATGGTAAGTTAGGCGATTTTGGGCTCGCAAGATTCGGCAACAACAATGGAACCGATGCAAAAACGACCCATTTGGCTGGGACTTTGGGATACATAGCACCTGAATTGGCTCGCAAAGGAAAAGCCACCACCGCGACCGATACTTTTGCTTTTGGAACGTTTTGTTTAGAGGTTGTTTGCGGTCGGCGACCTGTGGAGTTGCAAGGGTGCGAAGAGGCAGTGATTTTGGTCGATTATGTGTGGGATTGTTGGTATAAGGAGCAACTTTCTGAGGTGGTTGATCCGAAACTAAGGGACGACTACGAAACTGAGGAAATGGAGTTGGTTTTGATGGTGGGGTTGCTTTGTTCACATGTTGTGTCCGTGTTGAGACCGAGTATGTCGCAAGTTTTGAAGTTCCTTTTAGAGAAGGAGCCATTGCCAGCAGATTTCAATGGTGTATTGAAGATAAGAGACGACTATGCCTCTTCGAGTTCTTACTTGTCGCAAATTCACTACTCGACGACATTGGAACCGATCACCAACTCATTCATGTTTTCAGGGCGGTGATGGGAACAAGTATGTCAAATGTAATTTTTTATTTATAGAAGAGAAATCTTCAACACCCCCAAAATTAGTATAAAGTGCACCCGGAAATTTTCTTGTTTAAAATACTTTTGATTCTTACACATCATATCATGTACATTATATGCTAACCAAGATGGAAGCAAATAACAACATAGTTTACAAACCAAAATTTAACCCAACTGGGTGTTACATTACAATGCGCCAAAACTACTAAAGTATCTATCTGCTAAGTCTTGATATGTCTATCTTGATATCAAGCAAACTCCTTATATTTGCTATCAATACCCGCACCTACAATCAAAGGATATAACAACAACAGTAAACTATAAAAAGCTTAGTGAGTAACGAACATTGTTCTCAATATGAAGTGACCTTCAATGATTTGTGAACGCACCAATAGGATAACAACATCATCATTCTAAAACAACAACCTATACTATAAACATGATATAAACACTCTATAACCGAGTCTCTATGGATCCATACACAAGCATCCACAAAGGGCATCAACATGAGTACTACCGTACCAGGGCGAAAGTCCCAAAAAAAATTCACTACAATAAAATGAAGCTAAGGCACCTTGACAAAATGTTTCATCAAGCCTTGAGACGGTTGCATGATTCCTAAAGCACCTTTTTATCAAAAGTTGCCCGACCTTGCCTAGGCCTAAAGCATTCCTGTTTTTTTCGAATATGCAACCTATTTCTGGAAGAGATGTGGTTATTGTACAAAGGCAACATTTTTTTTATTTGAGTTATAACAATACTATTATCTTATGTGACCTTGTCTAGGCCTAAATATTTCCTCTAATCTAAAGCAAAACTTATTTATAATTTTCTAATGATAACGCAATAATTTTTTATTTGAGTTACAACAACAATATTGTTGCACACAATACAATTCCTATTGATATGCATAATAATCCATTTACACCATGACAATAATAACATATCATAGATAATGTTGTGTTGTACTTTGACGTATATGTGACGTCGTTTAGGCATAGAGCAATCCTTTTTTCGAATATGTAACATTTTTTAGAAGAGATTTAGTTATTGTACAAAGGTAATGTTTTTTACTCTTAAATGCAACTTTTATTTAATGTTTATACTCAAATCCAACCTTGATTACGTATTTGAAACATTCCAAAAATATCAGGAAAAAAAATCATTTTTAAAGTAAATAAAACCATTTCATAAACCTCACAAGTCAATAATCCAAATCATAAGTATATTATTTTCATGAAAATATCAAACTAATCCCAAAATCTCATAGTATAGAAATCATCGGTGGATGCAATGCAATCAAACTGGCTTATTTCCATGAAACATTCAAACTTAAACTGTAAGCACAAAGCTTAGTGAGTTCCCCAAAATACCACATACCATACATAATAGTGGTCCCCGCCCTAGGGGTATATTTTAACCTGTGTGCATGTTATGATCCCAACATAGTCTTACAGTTACTTCCGTTGCTTTAGCTCCACTGCAGTCTTTCCCGACATGGTTCCACCATGGTCTTCCATGAAAGTGTTGTGATCTAACCACAATCTTTCATACAAGTAGTGTGATCCCACCATAATCTTTTATGCAAAAGTCACACAAACAATCTAACATACAATGACACCTAGTGTCCTACATCGTATAGTGAGAAAACTCGCCTGATCAAAGAGTTAAAATCCACTAGTCGTAATCCTCATAGAATCAGCTACATGAACTTCCTAAGCCAATCACAAGCCAAACCTCAGTCAATAACTCAAAACCTCTCCAAGTTTGATCAAAAGTCAAACCGGTCAAAAAGACAACGACCAAAGTCAACGGACAAGGGTCAACAGGCAAGCACCACGTCGTGGCCAACCAATGATCACGTTGTGGCAGCCAGAAGACAAAATGATCGCAGAGAAACCATCCACCACGTCGTGAAAATCATCAAGCCACGTCATGGTCACGTCTGGACAAAACAGACAAAACAAACGCATTGCAGCATGCCACCACGTCGTGACACCTCCTTGGCCATGTCGTGGTTTTCGGTCAGAAAATACATCTCTTCATTAAGAGCTTAATCCATTATGACATCCCTTTATACTTTCCAGGTAGCTTATTTGCATCACAAAGAACCATAAAAATTGTAATTTTATTGGTATACATGGCCACTACATGTCCTTCCCAAAACTTAGGTCAAAAAGGTGAAAATGAGGTCAAAAACTCCATGCATGGCATGATGGCAACAAACAAATGAATCATTTCAGAACTGGAATATATGTAGCTCTAGGGACCTTAATGAATGATAAAGTTTATAACTTTATCAAAACTAACCACTAATATAAACCCAACATGAAGAATGATCGGTCTATTTTATAACATAATAAATTGTACTAAATATGTTGAATTGATGTGTGATAGCCCAAGAATGACACTACATTGATGGAATGTTGAACATTATGTGCAGGTAATCGTATACAACTAAAAGTGGGCGAAACCTTCAAGAAAAACAAACAAAAGAAAGCTAACAAGCATGAGGACAAATTGTGAAAAGTCATGAAGAAAAATGTTGATGGGAGATTTGACCACGTCAATGTTTTGATCATATCTCAAGCTATGGAACTCCGATTAACCTGATTCAAGAAGTTTTTGAAACTAGATAAAATTTCCTACAACTTTCTGTGAAAACCCGAAGCTTTTTCCGTTATCCTTACCCAGTTTTCGTTAATAAAATTTGGGTTTTTTATTTAATTCCATCAAATTTCTTAGTTTGGGAAGGACTTTACGTTTTAAATAAATCAATTCGGATTTATTTCCGTTCATGTTAGTATTATTTTTGGTCTAACAGAATATTCTAAGCTCAGTTCAATCGAGTTTTGGATTCGAAAACGAGGTTTTCAAAGTCAAAGCATAGCATACGAGCCAAACACCCCTTCGAGAGGAGTGTACGGCTGCAAACTCGAGTTTACGGCCGTACACCCCCACCCCAGCCCTTGGCCGTAAACTCACCCCTATATAAGGGATTAGTGGTCTTCATTTCACACTTTACACATCTCATAAGCTTCCTCTCTCTACTCTCTCTCTACAATTTTCGAGATCTGCTCAAGGACCTTCAAAATGTAAGTGATTGTTCACTTCTATTGTGTTTCAATCCCTTTTCTAGTGGTAAATCCATGTTCCTATCTCATTAAATCACATCTTTGTCTAGATTTTCTCTCTCACCAAGAACACCAAGAACACACACTAGTTCTTGGTGGCTAAAAACCTCATTCCAAGCCTCTTACAGTAAGTAACTACTCCCTATGCTTGTTATCTACTAGGAATCACTTGTTTACACCTAAAAATCGACCCAAATCATGAACACGAAATGGGTTTACGGCCGTACACCCTTCAATGGCCGTAAACTTAATTTTTGGTCGATTATTGGCCTTTAAACCCTACTTTGAGCCGTGCATAAGGCTTAGAACATTTCCAGGAGGCTAGAAAGGACCCTGGAACACCAAAAATCACACCTCTCACTAAGTGTTTACGGCCGTAAACTCATGGGCCGTAAACCCATGGGCCGTAAACCAATGGGCTGTAAACCCATGGATCGCAAACACTTGGGCCGTAAACTCATGGACCATACACTCCTGATTACGGCCGCAAACTCCCCATCTTCAATCACGTGTGATTCTAACACTTAGTTTCAAGT